ACGAATCATTGATTCCAAGGGGAAAATATTATCGGACGAAGGGGTCTTTTTGAACATTACCATATGGATTATCGCCTTGAATTAATCTGTTGCAAAGTGGTAAACTAGAATCAGTCCATTTTTCATAAAGTCAGTTTTCCGCAAAAATCAGGGATTGAAGGAAACTTGCGATATTTTCATATTTACCTTTTCTACAGCTCTGGTTTTTCTCTATAATTAATGTATAAACATAAATGTCGCTATCTGGTTTTTATTTCGAGATATTGACTGAAAACTAGCCGAGATCATTCGAAAACATATCTTCACTCAGAGTTACTACTTCGTCACGGAAATGTGGATAAAAAATACTTCAACAGTAAAATTAGTTTCCCCATAGAATTAAAGTTGGAAAAACTGCGGATTTCAATTTTTTATCGCAATTTTTGCGATTTCCGGGTCGTAATATTTTTCCACTCGTAGGTGAAACATAATGGAGAAAATATCTGGAGTTATTTCTTAATGCTGATGATTCATCATAATCAAAATAGAATTATTTTTTATAAAACGGTTCCAATAACGCCGGGAAAAAATCCAGAAAATGAAAAATCACTGATGTTCAATGAATAGAAGTGAATATCCCCTTGAAACTCTCCAGACTGAATTCAATCGATGAATCTACATCCGAGTTATGAGTATTTGAACAAAAATTCAAGGGTGTCCATCTCTCTGCTTTCTCAACCGAAATAAAAAAAAATCTGCATTGTAACGTAAAGAGAGCCCTCCCTTTCCCCCTTTTCCATCATTTTTCGCTAATGAAAATTCATGCCAGACGCATTTATCGGTGTTGCGGTTGTCTATCGAGAGAATTATTTAATAAAAATGACGTATATTCATAAGGGAATGCTATAGATTTTATTCCCAATGTTCTACCATTTTTATCTAAAATTCTTCATTGAACTAAAATGAAATGTATTATTTGAGTTGATGTTTTTGGATTTCAACGATGAAAAAAATTTTCCTCGTTCCAAACCCAAAGCTTTTGACGTAAATCATCATGCATGAATATTTTCATATTTACCTTTTCTACAGCTCTGGTTTTTCTCTATAATTAATGTATAAACATAAATGTCACTATCTGGTTTTTATTTCGAGATATTCGGTTATTCGGTTGCAAAAATCCGTATTTACTCGACGTTAAACTTTTTTTCACAGTGTAGTTAACTCCGAATGCACACATGCACGTCACCACTGATGATATTTTCCCCTTTCAAAAATGCCAGACTATATAAAAGTGCTGGTCCCTGTAAATTCTCCTCTAGCCCTTCTATTTTCATCTCGTTGTTTTTCCGGGGGGAGCAATAAACAAGAAAACGTCACCTTTACGACCGACTTTCAAGGCGTGGTGCTATCGTGAAGATTAATTGATTTACGGCACTTTTTCAGACCTCAATGGTAATTCTCCTCCCCTCTCTCCAACCATAGGAAGAGAAATTCACTCGAATTGCAATAGGAGGATTTGGAGAGAGTGAAGCAAATCCCCTGCATCAGACTTTATTCTTGAATCGTAAATATAGAGAGAGAAATGTGCGGATGCAGTGTAAATTATACGTCTCGTACACTGATCCCTTTTTCAAAAATACTATTAAAAAAGTTATACATATGTATGACATTTTTTAAAATTTTTTAAATTTTGTTTACCACAACTTTTGCCAAAAATTTCCATCAGCTCAATTTACAGTATAAATACATTTTGGGAATCCTCAGATCTTGGGTGTTCATTTTAAACTTTTCCAAATGGATATAATAACTTGAGAGCTCTGGATTCAAAGACAATTGTGTAAAATATACCACATGTTTCTACTTGGTGGGTGTGTCATAATGGGAGAGAAAGGGGAAAACTTTTCCCATCTCGGGATCAAGAGGGGAAGATATTTTTAGAGACCTCAGGGTCTCTTCCACCACCCGGAAGCCAATCCTCAGCTACACTGATCGAATTAACATATTAGTTAGTAAATTGGGTCATGCGTGATTAATCGGTGTCTTTGGACTTTAACAATTGAGTTGGCACCTTATTCCCCTAACTCACGGGTATATCCGCAAAACAGGCAGTGTACACATGACAAAGTACCATTTTTTCGTGAGGAAGAGTTAAGATCCCCAAACACGATATCATCCCCTCGGTGACCTTCATAGTTTCCCCTTAACCTTGACTTTGCTTGTGCGTGTTACATTGTAGATTAATTCACCCATCCCCTCATTTTTCACCAAATTCCTGGAGCTGGATTAATTGGAGGATTAAACTCCAATTAATCCAACGCCCAGATGTTTTTTTAACTATTTGATAAAAATTCCACTGGAATGCACTATTTAAACGAATTAACGGAAATTTTTTTCTTGATCAAATTTTCCAACAACATCCGGGTTTTCTGTCACATATAATCTATTGATATTGATATATTTTTATTTTAACCATCGACCAACTGACGCGGCAACTTAATCAATTAGAATACGTAGTAGAAAAATTAAAAAATTGAAAAGATAATTCAAACATTAGGCTGTCGCTATAATTCCCGTTGAAAAACATCCCCGAAATGAAAATTCCTGTGCGTCATAAAAACAACGCGTAGAGAATTGAATGTTTAAATTTAAGAGCCTTGCCCTATAAAAATCACGTCTAGCCCTCAGCTTGCCCTAGAGAACCCATACAAGCCCCCTATTTGTTTTGCCTTCCAAGTGCACCTCCCACATCCTCCTCATCTTCAATTTACAATTCTCGTATACCATCGCTGGTAACAAATTCACGAAACGTAGTATACGTGAGTAGCCAAACAAATAGACCATCTACACGCTCACACAGTCATTAAAAAACCAGTGTGTTGGCCTGCCATGTTTCTACAATCGGCGCATGCGTTGAATCCGAGAGAGACAGGAAATGTATGATCGCATCTTCCTGAGCTCAACTTCCTCCATCTCTCTTTATGCCATATGATTTCCAGTGAATACGTGGCCAAAGTCGACTGCGCGCGCATACCCAGTACTCAAAAACAATCTAATAAGCCTGAATCCCATTTACCCTCCCCACCTCTCAGGGAATTAAAAGCAAACATACAGATGTGACTCGAACAGGTGATGAATATATTTATATTAATATACAATATTCTCCATCGTCTAGCATATTTATTAGAGCCCTTAATTTTTTGTTAAAAAAACACTTGTTTGCAGTTGAGCGAAATTATCCTGCCTGAATCCTTTGAGTTTCATCTGGCTTTCAGGGAATTGAAGGGAAATGCGTAGATGGGATTCAGGTGATGAGTTGATAAAATCTTGAGTAAAAAATAATCTCTCGAGATTGAATTCAATGTTCTCGAACGTTCCAACAGGTTTTAACGCTTGAGAAAGCTGGATATGACGCACTGGCTGGTCTATTCTGGCAATTAATTCGGATAGACACTTGCCTCAGGTCATATCGACTGAAAAATTTCGTCAGCGTTCAGTAACTGGACACTGACCTCTTCTATGATAACAATAACAAATAGAGTCTACCAATTGATCGATTTGCGAGGTGTTTTGATGGAATGAAAATAATATCGAAAACAGTCGAAACTTCGAAATACCCAAATGATAGCATGAATCACCTGACTTGTCAATTACGATGACTATTTGATTATGATATGAAAAGTGTTTCCCTCATGACTTACAAAGGAAAATGACTGAAAACCCAAACAATCGTACACGTAAACATAATTTAAAAACGTGTTTATACGTCGAACGTCACTTTACAGAAATTTCATCATGAAAAATACAAAATTGTTTACAAAAATTAGTGATTCTAAATAAATTAAAAATTCATCGACTCTACGTCGAATACTTGTCCCTGAAAAATTCCCAACCAAAAGTCCCTGAAATGATTTCTGTCAATTAAATGCAGTTACTCATAGTAATACTATTCTGCACAGCTCCCCATTTATTTGCCAAAATAATTTTTTGCCATACAAGTCATTGAAGGAGACAAACTTATTTCTGATGAAATAATAAATGAGCTGACAGCAGTAAGCAATCAATATCTTGCGAAACCAGATGATTCAAAGGAAGACAAATATTTCAGGTGATTTAACATGATATCATGCGGGTTTTGCATCATGCTGATTGTGTACCCAACACAGACAAACGGAAAGAGACATGAGACTGAATTGTGAGAGGTGGGGGATGTTGGGAGCTACGTGACTTGAGTCTCATAACGGGTGTAGAGGGCGTTGGCGAGTTGAACGTGGGAGTTTGCTCGGAAAAAGAAAAGGACCAAGAGATATTTCTCTCGTCTGTTAAAGCGAGACACTCAGAAAAACAGGGCATATCACTCTCCAACAGTTGGACACCACTAGATTTTAAGTAACTCATCTTTCCTTAGAACTGCGAGGCAGTCTCGATGGCATCGAGAGAACATGCCTATTATTTTTTCATCTATAAATTAATCCATCCAACTTTTCTTCAACTGACAAAGAGATTACTTTTGCCAAGTGGATTCACTCACTATGAGAAAATCCACACAGGCAAATATTTGTAAATATACAAATTGATTCGATGAAAAATTATTTTCCTTGGAGAGCATGTATTAAATACAAGAGAATTCCTGATTTCTCGAAGTGACTACTTGTAAATAATTACATGTGCCCAGAGGATTGATTGGGCAGAAGTAAGAGTATTTGGTTTTCTCATTGTAAATACAATGAACGAGAATATTCAAATTACCCAGTAGATTCACTAAATCCTCAAAATCCTCACATTTTAAATGTAAAAATTTATCAATATTGAGTGGCAGCACAAAATTTACTGTGTAGTAGCAAATGAATTTAGCAAAAGTGATTTTCAGTGTAGTAGAGTGGTGCGTGTATGTTTGATGTGGGGAAGGGAGCGAAGAGAGATGGAGGGGACGGTGAGGGTAATGTTGAAGTGGTAGGGGTAAAGTTAAGGCGGTAGGGGTAAAGTTGAAGTGGTGGGGAGGGTAGATGCGGTGGTGGCCATTTTGGTGAGAATGTGAGATCAGTCGGAAACCAGCTGCCGAGTACAGAGCAGTGAGGGAAGGTGAACGTGAAGATTAGGCCAGATGTGTTAACCGGAGAATTTTTGAGCGCTTCCGAGCCCATTAAACGCTTTGTGCGAGAGGCTGTGTGATAGCGAAGTTTAATCAACATCTCAGGGTAATTGAACAACATCAGTTCAACATCAACGGACCCCTAAGCTCCGGTTAGAGGAGTCCTTCGATTGATATCGGAGGATTGGAGAAATTGAATAATTTTTCGGGGGATAACATCGCACTCGGAGTGCGTTGGCTGTTTGTTGAGGGGATTGAGGAGAATTTGAGGGGTAATAGAGGGGATTCGGTGTGAGAGTCAATAGGCGAATGATACGCAGCGAATATCTATTTTTTTTTTGAACGTCGAGACGGCCAAAATCACATTAATTTCGCCAAGGAGAAAGTGTAGTGTGTCAAAGTCTGTGATAGTATTTATTGAAGAGAATTTTATGGAGAAATTTGAGATAATCCGTGCTCCATGTTGAATCCGTTTTGGAATAAAACCAGTCATCAAGTCACCAGGCGGACAAAGTAAATTCTAGATAGGCTTTATATATTTATTTATATCTGTGATACACTGATATACAACGGTACAGCCGTTCCTGGTCATTGTCTTTGACGTGGGGGAACGCAGTGGGATTTTAAGGACGAGGGGGAAAATTGATTTTTCTTCCCACCTTTTTTGAGAGGGCTGTCTTTTGGTGAATCGTCGTTAAATATTCGGGGACGCTGATTGTTGTATCAGTAAATGAAAAACAACCTAGTGGATAGGCGTTTTTTTGTATATACGACTGACTTTTTTACGATTATTAAACGAACCGGTGCGAGAGGCTTAGAGTTTAAAGGAGTAGGATATTGTTGTTGGGAGATATTGTAACTGACGAGTTACTTCTCACATTGATTATTCTATCGACGTCGGTTCCACGGCTAATATGGTTGAGAAAATACTGGAAGAGCGAGAGGATGGGCGTCAGGACGCTCTCAGAGGTAAGACGATATATTTTTTTTCTCTCTTCATCCCTTTGTTGTCCCTTTCTAAACAGGAATTCCTCGGAATTCACCAGTTGGAGACTCCACTGGCCATTGTGTCACATCGCGCCATGTTTGTTTTCTTCAAGCCGGTTTTTATTTATTTATTTATTTTTTCAATCAATTACTCAACTTGTATTTATTAATTATCTTCGGTTGTTGGGATTATAGATACAGAGAAAAACAAAAATTCCAAGCAACTTTATTTTAGGGAAATCATTTTTTTCCTGTCGATTTCACAAGTTTACGAGTTCAGGTTCACTGAAATTGATAGGAATACATAAACAATTTTTTTGTATACTTCTGTGGGATTTATGTTGAAAGCGATAATTTGTTTAGAATACTTCGAGAATGGAGAAAATAAAAATGGGAGTATTTCGAATATCTGGGGATGATGGGAAAATATTAAAAAATTTCGTGATTCACATTTTTATCTCTGGGTTTGAAATGAATAACTTTGCGAATATCTGCGATTGCGGATAAATTACTTAATCGGATTGATTATTCGGTTTCATACTTGTGCTTCGATGGATTCTTTGATTTAATTATCAATGGATTTTTATATCAGGGGATTGGGAATAACGTAAATAGAAAACGGAGCGTTACACATTTGTCTGATGATGTAGGTTTCTGATGGCGTATTTTGGCAACAATTGTTGGCAGTGGTGTACAGTGGATTAGTTATTACTTTGTGTTTTTCGAGGAATTCTAAAACCATATTTCTGAAATGAAAATATCCTATCGGTTTTGGAGTAGCGGAATTCTCGATTCGAAAATACAGTCGATTCAATTTATTTTCATTCGCGTTAAAAGAGTTCTCGTTTTCCGAGTTTTGTTCAGCTTTTGTACGTCCCACGGTCGTTTTAGAATAAAATTGCATCGATCATTTGAAAGAAGATATATTTTTTTGTACTGAAAGATGAGAGAGTTGAGAAGAGCCTTTTGACGAGTTCTAGAGCTTCCGGAACCTCTTGGAAACTCCTGGAAAATTTTAGATCTGCCTGAAGGCACTCGGGCAGTCTCAGAAAATTCTAGAAACGTCTACATCCTGAAAGTTTCTACAAAATTCTACACCCGTGCAGAACATTCTAACAAAAACTATCAAGACAGTTTTAAAAACTACTCTCGATTTTTCCAAGCTGTTCTAGAACTTCACTTGAGAACATCAGGCAATTCAAGACAATTACATCATCATTAAAACAGTATCACTTATATCACGTCGATCACGCATGCAAATTGAACTTACATTATTCTTCACAACATACATTATTATGTGATTCTAAATTTCCTTGGCCCTAGATTTATTTTTCAATTCTATTCCATCTCGTCAATTTTCCAACGGTTTTTTCGGTGTGAGGGAAATGGAAGTTGAATGCAATACTCTTAGATGCACAAAAAAGGACAAAGAGTATTTATAACCGATACGGAATGCTTCCAAATCCGGGGGGAAATGACAAAGAAGGAAAAAAGCCCGTAGGGTAACCAAGACAAAGGATCGTACAACCAACGGAGAAATACGCCTGAGGGGAAAATAAGGGAACATTTGCTGAGCCCATGCGCATGTCCAAACTTTCGCATAAATAACTTACAAGTGAGCCACTTAGTCCTTTGTTACGTGTACGGGATTATTTGCAGTGTTACGTTACACAAGACTGCCGAAACGATATTAATTTCGTGGTTTCAGGTTCAATCTACAGATCGAATGGTAAATTACTCCAATGATCTGTCGTGTGAATGCGGATAGCGATGAATATTTGCAATGTTAGTTCACCTGTGTGACATTGACGTACTGTACTGGTAGTTTTGTGATTAACTCATGGATAGTTTTGTTTGAAAAGGACGAAGGAAATGGCATAAATTACCTTATCATCGAAGCTCAAACATATCTCTCTAATTTGCATTGGAAAATGAAAAAAATGCGATTAGGTCTGAGTGATAGGTCTATGTTATCAGTTTTATTGCTATTAACAATACACATTCCGGCGTGATTTTCAAATTTTTATCAATTATTATCTCATTACTGTTTTGAAAAAATTTAGCAATTATCAATGCAAACTACAAATTGAAAGTCAATTATTATTTCATAAAAATTGACATGATTCAGAAAGTTTCATCATCTTTTTCCCCTAAATGAAACTGCATGTCAATCTCCTAAAAATTATCAGTTCTTTGCTACTTTTAATAACAATTGCAAAAACAATTAAGATTGCACTAACCAATGAATTAAACAGACAGTCATAAAATAATCTCAGTCGAAAGAATATTACCTCCTTTTTATCTAAATAAATAATACCGAATCATTCAAACAGAAATAATGACAGTTTTTTAATAGCAACTGATTGTTGCATCATTACTGCAATGACTATTGCAAAACTATTATCAATAAAAAAATTTATTTCGGCTTTATCGTTAAGTAATCGAGCAAACAATATTTATCCATTTCCTTATCAAATTATTGATAAACTAAGGTTACCCAATGTTTACATATCCGATAGTTTATTTATGATATAATAATTTTATTAACACTAATACCACATGACGCTGTCTGATCAACCGTAAATTAAATAACAGAGTTTAAAATCAGATATCAATTTTCTCTCAACCCAACAAAACTGAGAAAACGTATCATTCATTGACGTAGGTCAGTTATTTATTCTAAAGCTGAAGGGGTTGGTGACCCCTTATCTCTAATCCGTTCCACTCAATTCCCTGTAATGAATGTTATCACAATAATCGTGTTCATTGCTAGAAGAAAAATCGTAGGAAATCTCTTCCTTTGAAATTTTTACAATTTTATATTTCACCTGAGCAAACAGTTTCTGATTAACTTGACAGCATTAAATGCCTCTGAACATTTAAATATAGTTGTCCCACAGCCGCACGTACACCTCAATGTCCCTCAGTTGAATCTACCCCGAGGATAAATTTTTCTCTTGTCAACAACACCATTGCACAGAGAAAGGTCAAGCGTGAAATAACGTATTTCCTGCTATCCATACATGCCGGAAACTGCGATACAGAATTTCTCTTTCATTGGACATTGTAAACTCAATTAGATCGAGGATAAAAAGGAGTGCTAATGAAAAATCGATTGACCTGAGAATATCATTATCCAAAGTAACATCGACTGATTGAAAATCTCGACAACTTGTTAAAATCTGATGAGAAATTGCAGTAATCGACTTGCACTTTTTTTTTATCTCCTCGTCCCTGAGTTGACAATCAGCTGTCAAATTAATTTTCATCAGTGGCAACTCGAGAGATAATCAGTCATTGCGAGATGAGATTCTCTAATCATTGGTAATTAAAATGGCAATAACACTGGCGTTATCTCAGTTGCATATCTCGAGCGTTTAAGATGGCGCCGTTCCTTTTCTGTGCCAGTCATTGAACTCTAGTCGGTAAGCAACTGCTGTACGAAAATATCGCAATGCATGTGTATATTGTGGATGTTGGCAAAATCCGTGGGATGCGGAATAGTTGTCGATTAAATTCATTAATATCAGTGACAATTTTCTGGTGTTGGAGCTGTTGATGGACTTGACATGTCCTGGTTTAGGTACGACTCAATGGATCTCGAGGTCGCGATTGTACGTCACGGCCGCAGATGAATCATTCGATCATTATGCTCACTTATGATGTACTAGAAAAATCCCCGGCGAGATCATTAATTTTGATTTTAACATATCGCGTTTGTAATGCATCCCCCGTATTCTTTGACTCGATACAATTATCAATGTCTTGTTCTCGTTTCGACCGATTTCTCTTTAACCCACGCAACAATCTTCACACTCACTTCTTCGCCAAGCTAAACTACTTTTGTGTAACGTTTTTCTTAATACGAGATACGAGGATACGAGAGGAAAAACTTGCGCTATATGGAGAGAAATATTCAATAAAAATTACCCAATTTTCATAATTTTAGGACGAAGTGTTAAGAAAAATTTTGGAGAACCGTTACATTTTTTCGGACCTTTCTGTCATTTTTATTGACTATATTTCTTTAACATTGGAAAATTACACTTAAAATTTTTAACAACCACCAAGTGACTTTAGACTTCTCTAGAATTCCTCATTTTTGTTTTACCTACACTTACGGTAAATAATTCATGCTGTAAATCAGCGGAAAAAATGAACTCCAACTTCCAGACATATAAGAACTAGTCAATAATACAATAAATTCCAGAAGAAGTTAATGTCAGAAGAAACATTCGAATTTGATTTGCGTTCAATAGTCTGTATGGTATCGAAAATAATCAATTCAGTAGAGGCAAATAACAGAGTTTTATGGGGCGATGACTGTCTCCCGTTGGCAAGAGTAAAATAAAGATGAATCTGGGAAAAATCTTCAAACATGCGGAACAGAAATAAGAATTCTCCGTTTTATGTGAAAATTTTCTTGTTTCACACTCTCGATAAATAATTCATGGGATGAATCGAGCCAATAGATAATCGACGGTACAACGCATGTTGAAGTTATCAGTAGATATGTTTAGGATTTTTTATTATGGGGGATTTTTTGAGATTATCTCAAATAGTACTTGGTCTTATAGTAGAATTTCCAGGAGATGATTATTAATAGTTTGGGAGGACCAGTGGATCTTTGTGCACTGGGTATTTTCCATCGGTCAACGAACGAGCCCATCATGTTCCCGACCTACGCCCACCTTATCCCACAAGGGATGAGGTCTCCATATCCCAGAATAGAACCCCAGTATACACGATTATGAAATGCCTCGTTTGTTGCATTAAACTCACCCCAAGTGCACTGACTCTACAGTTCATTCATCATTGCAAAATTATTTTTTTTATGGCGACGTCTTTGTAACTGCTGTTAAAAAAATGTAGATCACGTTCTACGGGATTGCCCGGAATATGTTCAAGAGAGAATTGAACTTTCCCAACTGCCTGAACCCTTGCACCGACAATACCATCTGGGATTTCGAAAGGTTAAAAAATTATAGAACACGTTTATTTTACACGTCCAGAACGTGCACAAAGTGAACTTTTTCTCGAATCACAACACGTCGTTATAAAAATTCGAGGATTTCAAATAACTTGAACATTAGGATTATGGTTTTTAAGTTTTAATGTTATTGAATACCTCAGAAATTCCCAAAAGTTTAGAAAAATAAACGTACGATTACAAAAATTTGTGAATCGTTGAATAATGATAAAACCTAAAAAGGTATATATTTCCACGTCAATCTGGGTTTCCCATAATTGCAGACAAAAAAATAAATGTAATCTCCAATATAAACATCACAAAACGATGAAAGCTGGATTGACACTGATTGATTCCCACAATTCATCTAATGAACGGATAATTTATGTTGCAGTGGAAGGAAATGGTCGAGAGGTAGCTTCAACTGGAGAACCATTGAGTTCAGTTCAAGCTAGACAGGAGGAGGCCCGACGTAGACGACGCAGGAAGCAACGTTCAGGCTCATCACTTGTCTCGTCATGCTTCCAAGGTTTATATCACCAAAGTACCATTTTCACCATTACCCAGATTACCCAGAGATAATCTAGCGAGATTGATATGCATAACTCCGAAGGACTCTGTTGCCATAATTGCATCTGGCTCATGTCCGATGTGCGCTTAGAACGTTTTCCTTCGAGAACATTCGAACCTGCTGTTCGACTTTACACGTCAGTGCTTCGTCGGTTTAAACGCGGCGCATGTCCGTTATCATTGCAACACTGCAATAATAACACGATCAACTCCGTGATTAAGGGTCCAAGGAGATTGCATACACGCATTATTGAATAGATGCACCTGCAGGGTGGAAATAAATAGAACTCTTTCGGTTGATCTTTTTTTTTGTGGACAGAGGAATATGTATTTGCCATTGTACGATGTAGGTGTATTCTGCGATATATATATATATGTGTATTCTAACTCGGTCGCATGTTGCGTCATCGGACGATGACCGAATACAACTCTGAGTACTCCCTCTCTCTAATCTCTCGTGATACCTCTCTCTCTTTCTCTCTCTCTGTTATTTCCTTTGGTATTTTTTTCCTTAACTTCAAAGAAAAAACATGGGAAAGCTCTCATTGAATCAGTCGTGACGATTTTTTCCTTTCATAAAAAATCACGTAGCTGAATAATTTCAATACAATATGAAGTGCAACATTCACTTATTGTCAAAAAGCACACGTTTATTTTTTGCAATAATGAAAGATTAATTTCACGGGAATATAAATAAATGGAAATAAAACTTCTGAAAATGAATCGTCGAGCACGTTCCAACTGCTTTTATGCACTCGTTTGCGATGACACGATGCATCCCGAGTATTCGTGCATTTTTCGAATTATGCATGTACACTAGAATTTCAAAACAATTCGCGTAGGCTCACTCATGCCTAGACATGTTGCCAACGCGATAAAGACGCGCTCAATGCCATGAGGTGGAACGTTCTAGAATGCCCCGCGATCAATGTCGCGAGACTTGAGTATTTTGTGGACCCTGATGAATTGAAAAATTCACCGATGCGTCTAGCGTTTTTATCCGATTTTTTAACAAACGGATTATTGAAATTTTAGATTTGTACAAGTTGACTGGAGAGGTACTTGGGGAGGGAGCTTATGCCTCTGTACAAACATGCACCTCTTTGTACACCGAGTTGGAATATGCTGTGAAGATTATCGACAAGATACCTGGCCATGCTCGTACTCGGGTTTTTAAAGAGGTTGAGACATTTCATCATTGTCAGGGGCATCCCAACATCATTCAACTTATTGAATTTTTCGAGGACGATGAGAGATTCTATCTGGTTTTTGAGAAAATAAATGGTGGACAGCTGTTGAGGAGGATTCAGGAGCGGGTTCACTTCAGTGAGAGGGAAGCCAGTCAGATTGTTAAGGAGATTGCTGGGGCGCTGAATTTCCTTCATAAGAAAGGTGAGAGAGAGGAATAAAAACATGCGAATGGCCTTTTACTCGGGCTTGGCCGATTCTAGTTCTTAGAATTGTAACGGAATCGATCCAAGTGCTGAAGAGATCAAATGAATACAAACGTCTCTGGCATTTAAAAATCCATCTTTTCACCTTAACAGAGCTACAATTAATATAAAAAAAATATTTTCCTTCAGAAACATCGCGAAAGAATCTCGAAATTTCTTTGAAAAAAAAATTTGTTTCTCACAATGTCTCCGAAACTAAGAGAAATATCGACATTTTTGGTAGGGCTTTTTTTCGAGCGCACATTCGACTCGACAAAAGGAGTCCTGGCTAAAATATCGCTATCTCTCTCAGATTCGAAGTTGCTCTTCGAAAACTCGACTGGGGGAACAAGCCGACTTGTTGCCCTTGACCTCTTCGCTACTGATGTACATGACTCTGTCCCTTGAACAGTCATTTAGGGATCAATTAAAAATGTTATAAATTTTGTTATTTTGCCCGAACAGGGATTGCACACAGGGATCTGAAGCCTGAAAATATTCTCTGCGTTTATCCAGACAAACTGACGCCAATCAAAGTCTGTGATTTTGATCTTGGCTCGGGAATAAAATTCAACAATTCGTTGTCAAGCCCTGTGGCAACACCACAGCTATTAACACCAGTTGGTAGCGCTGAATTCATGGCTCCAGAAGTCGTTGAAGCATTCATTGGTGAAACAAGTTATTACGATAAACGATGCGATTTGTGGAGTCTTGGTGTTATCATGTACATTCTGCTGTGTGGATATCCACCGTTCTATGGTAATTGCGGCACTGAGTGCGGCTGGGAAAAGGGTGAGAACTGTCAGGCTTGTCAGGAATCACTGTTCACCAGCATTCAGCAGGGAAGGTATGACTTTCCTGAGCGCGAATGGAGAGCAATCTCTGAGGATGCCAAGGATCTAATTCGCGGATTGCTGGTTAAAGATGCACACCAACGACTCAGCGCTGAATGCGTACTCAATCATTCGTGGGTTAATCCAGGACCTACACCAACATCAGCTGGTGACAGGCCGCTAATAACGCCGGAAATTATCAGGAGAAATAATTCTGCACGCGAGCTGTCTGTATTTGCTGAGTCAGCAATGGCTGTTAATCGTGTGGTTCATCAACATTTCTCAATGAATCTCAATGATCTCGCTGAAAGTCGTGAACCGAGACTCTCAACATCATCCACTGACGAGGACAATCATCCCTACGGTCATCTGTCAGACTCGAGCAGTGAATTGTCAGAGCCAAGCAAAAACTGTGCGACACACTCATCTGAGGAATTTGAGATTGGTCCAAGGCGCAAGTCATTCTCCATGAATTCAGCTGTTGATTCGTCTGATCCAAAAATCATCGGTAAGAATCGTCTTCTTGGTAAAGAATCATTGAATCAGCTCTTTGGCTTGTCCCCACCGAGTGAGAGTAGACTTATGCAACGTCGCATCAAGGCACGTTCCAGTCTTCTTGGCAGTCAGAATCCAGCAATTGTTGCTTCTCCAAGTGGCTGAAATTCTCTCTCCATCATCTTTTTTCTTCAGTTTTTTCGTATTTTTTTTTCCGCAATTTTTTTTAGTCTTTCGAGAGGAAATTGTATTCCCATTTCTACACATTTGCCATAATTTTGTTGGAGATTTCAATGATGCAGAGTCACGGGAAATAGCTCAAATTCAGATTTGAAGGTTTTTTTACTTGAGGAAAATTCAGTGAGATCCATATTCTTCTGGGTTCAATAGTTTTTTTGGTGTATCGTTGAAGGTAAATATGTCGACAGCTTCGTAACAGATCAATTCATGTGCAGAAACTATTTAATTTTGCGAAAATTGCGGAATAACCAGAAAATATGGCGCAAAACATGAAAACTGGATTTTCAATTTAATTACATTTTTATCACTTATGTCTGCCCTTTAATCTGCCCACCTAAACTCTTCAAGGGTACGACACAAAAAACTGGAACAATAATTGGCACTTATCATCGTTCTTGAATTATCAATTCGAAAAATAATTCAGACAATTGTGACATAAGCTCCAAATGCTGGAAGAGATGGAAAACACCCCAGAAAATTATGAACCCAAAGCCATATTTCTTTTCTCCATCGTTATATCTTGTAGGACGTAGTCTAGACATTCACTCAAAGTGAACCCAAAAAACTAAAAAAAAAAACAAAAAATAATAAAAGAAACAAAAAAAAATTAAAAATTAGTACCTGTAATAAGTATAGGATGGATGAAGTACAAGACATGTGGATATGAGCGATATCAGAGATATCAGAGATATCAGAGGAATGATTGATGGAGTAATTGAGGCAGGATTATTTGAGTGAGACTCTGTCGAATTGAATCAGAGAATTAGACAGATTGGCTAGTTTGATCATATCGAAATTGAGCGACGAAAAATGGAGAAATGTTTGCCGACTACGTTCCGCGAGTTATGTTTATAGATACAAACCAGTATTTTCTTTTGCACTTCATGAATTATTTTCTGCTCCCCCCCCTTTCCCCCGCGCTGTTCATTTTATCATGTATCATTTTGTTTATTTTCGTTCGACGCCTCGTGTTGACATTCAGAGGAGAAAATTACATTTGTGGATTTGGAGTTTTTTTTTTGTCCGAAAAATTAACTTCTCGATTGAACTACATATATTCCTTTATCCCTCGTTAGTCGTCGATTTTTATTTATTATTTTAATCGATATCTCATTCTCAATGGATGTTACGCTTTTATTTTCATTTGCTATGTAGTAATGTCATCGAGATGAGAAATTTTTGGAGGCTTTCTTTTTTATCAGGAACGTCCTGACGAAACTTATATGTAAAAATGAATGAGTTTTGCTATGAGAACATTCGGTGGGAGAATACGAAACACGATAAATGGAACATTGAAATTACCTCTGGATTAGGACTGGTTTAAAAATTGCATTTTCCGTAAGACAAGAGAATAATCAACGCCTTCATCAGTGAAAGTCCACTTGTGCGAATTTTTTTCGGGAGTGTTTCAATGTTTCGGGAGTATAGTGCATTCCAAGCTTTCTTAACTCAAGCAGATCTGCAATTTTTCTTCTATTTCTTTCTTAGAAGTTCTGCAAAAATGGTGGACATGTAAAAGTACACAGTTGTAATGGAGTCGAAAATAATTCTTTATTTTTTTTTTGCCGGTTTGTTTCTTCGTTTATCTTATTTCGCCACAAAATTGTGCAAGAATATGAGGATAAGGTAAAAGAAAAAGAAAAATTTGGAATTTGCTCATCTCCCCTCAATGTAATCATTCAATTTCTTCCTTTCATGCATTCGAGATAATTCGCACGAGAGGACTGGTTCATGTAATTTGTAGAATGCATAGTTTTTTTTTTTATTTCGAACAGCTCTTGGTGACCACCGACAAGTGCAGAATTATCCCTTGAATTATCCCTCCAGAGGAAGAGGAGAAGTTAAAAGAATCGAAACATGCGCATAATTCTACGCACTGTCGGCGTAGCACCAATTGCTCCTTACAATGTGTAAATAAAAAAAAAATCATTAATGTATAGAAAGATGATATATAAAATGAGATTCGGATCGAATCGCATTATTTACTCGGGATTTCACATTTATCGGTCCATCTCCAGAAATAATTGAACACCATTAATGGAGGACAGTGGGAGAAATTTTATTGGATGATCAAGTTCTCGCAAAATAATACGTCCTTGAATCATTATCAGAACTCGAATGCTTCTGTGTAATCGTGGATGAAATTTTCAAGTCTCAATTGTACAAATAAATAAAGTTTATACGATAATTTTCAGAAAAGATGGAAAACAATAAAAAAAATGATGAGGAAGTGGTTTGGAGAGAATATTTGTATCAGATTATCATTAGCTCATTCTCGTATTTCGTCTTCATTGAGATCGATTGTATCAATTCACCAGATTAGGGACTTCCAAAGATAAACGCTGATTCCACATAGAAAAGGAGAAACCAAATTTTTAGTCGGAAGGATAATTGTGAATTAGTGAGCTGCATGCAATTTTTTCCGGAGAGAAATGATTGAATGAGTGGAGAATATTAATTCACGTATTATTTTTTCCATTCAATTTTCATTTTCGATGATTGAAAAATTGATGCTGAGTCTCGATTAAAGCTTCCTCTTAATGAAATAAATAAATAAATGAATGAATAAAAACAGTCGAGTAAAAAATATCGGTTTCTATCGAGTTGATGTACGAGTGATCGGATGAATGAGAATGCGTGATATGAAGAGTGAAAAATGATTCATGGAAAACAAAGGGATGGCCATAATTATCAGTCTGAAGTAATACATCATTGCACCTATAAGTGTAATAAAATGAGTGCGTGTGGCGACCGGAAGTAGATAAAAGTTTTATCATAAAACCATGAATTGCAAATTTTTATGATTCTGTAGTCACACTAACAAGAATCTCAGAGAGGTACCACTGTAACATCGATCCATTCTACATTTTTTTTTTATAAAAAAATGTGAAAATAGGGGGAATGGTAATGAAATTTCTCTTTGCAATTGCATCATCTTGAATTCAGTTATGATTCACGAGTTTGGTCGCCACTGCTGTAAAAAAAAACTTTGAGGAAGATAACAGACATTCGTAGAGAGAAACTGATGAAAAAAATTTACGTTCTTTATTGCCTTTTTTTTACGCCTACGTGGAGATACAAGAAATAGTGAGAAATCATTTTTTCAGAACGATGAAAAAAGATAATAAAAAGGACCATATTTTAATTGGTTGAATTTCTCTTTCTTTTGGTTTGATTCTTACGTTTCTTTACTTATTATTTTCTTATTAACCTCCCAACTCCTATACAAGTCTCATTCATCACTAATAAAAAAACAATCATGAATCCAATTTTGTGAAATCAAACAATTTCACTTTTTCATCATTCATTTTTTTTTTCTTCTACTTGGAAAACGCGCGCCTAGCAGATCAAAGGCTTCACGTCAGATTTCATACTTTAATCTGGCCTTCATTTTTATTCCTCATCACTGCAATGAGTAATCAATTTTTCCGAACGATATAACGAGATAAATCCCAAAGAAGACTATCTGAACTGCTTGAATCGATTTAAAAAATTTAATTTTGATTTTCCTTCGTGCATTATTGATTATTCACCACGCAATAAACAAAATGCTATCAACTTCTCACTTACCACTGATAGAAAAAAAATTCTTGCATTATATGAATATAATTTTGTAACTGACAAGTCGTTTCACCTATTTACCACTGATCTCTTTCTTTCTTCTCTTTGAACGACGCACGTCCATGTGAAGATGAGTTGAATATGTCCACTAATCGATTAATTTACGGATGAGAATCGTTAATTAGTGCCTACCTGGCAGATGAAAGGTATTATCACATCACACTTCATCCGCCAATCTGGCCCTCGTCCTTATTCCTCGAGACTACAAACTAGAGAATGAAAAAATGGGAAAACCAAAAAAAAAAAACTAAACATATAAAACGATGAAAAAGTAAAAAAAATGCCAAAAAATATTTTTTATTTTTCATACCCACTCGTAGTTGTAAATTATGGAATCGTTTAATACCCAATATGTACATTAACGGTATTCAAATATATATTTTTGACGCTTCTGAGTATAACATTTTAGACGCATGGACGTCATAAATTGTTTATTGCGCTTCGTTACAATGTTCACCATAGAATGGGACGAAAAAAGAATAATATGAATATCGATGACTTGTTGGAAGTATCGATAATTTTTGCGGTGTACCAGGCCTATCGATAATTGGGCGCACGTCTGGTTTATTTCACTTCATGGAGATAGTTTGGAGATAGTTTATTCTACTGTCTGTATTTGTCTTTTGGATTTCTGATTCAATGATAATGACAACTACTTGAGTGTAACGAAATGAAATAACGCGACGTGACACTCTGATGGGTTGGAAATAACACATGAGAATGATCTTTCAATCTCAAATTCACGATTAATAAGGAAATTAACATGGAGAAAAATACTCTTCGAACAAGAATATAAAAACTGAAGAAGTATCTTCATTAACGTTCGAGAATATTCATTCTCGCAATTCCTTCACTTTCGTTGAAAAGAAATTAATTAATAAAGTAGTAAACTAAGTTGAGTCGACTAACATTTTATTTTAATTGTCGATTTATTTTCAAAACTATCGATTCAACGTCAAGACGCTAGAGGAATTTTTTGCAGCTGATAAAATAGCCAACAAAAAATGTCTCTAGATAATTCTTCGTAGAATTAATATTTTTCGAACTCCATCGATATTTAACGAAACTGTAAAGCTCAACTTTACAGTTAACTTGTTGAAATTAAATGCGCATGCTTTTTATTTTGAGGAATTATGAATAATTAAGATTATAATTAAAACAATACTCATACGTCTCAGTGACACAAGACATGTGCAAAAATTGAATTATTCTTAATCTGAGAATATTTCGTCTCCATGGTACGCTACGAGGGTTTTGCCCCGGTAAACAATATATTCAATGTTGAGACTGGATTGCGAATGTACAAACTCCATTAATTACTATATTTTAATAAGATTTAAACAATGCCCACAAGAGGTAAATTGCCACCCTGAAACACTGGGAGATGACAAACCGGCGAACGCAGAACGCGTGGAAAAATCTGAAAAATTGTCTCTGGATCACTAACTGTTCAGTTATGCACTGACAACTCAAGTCATAAAAAAAATAAAAAATCAGACATCGAACTGTGAAAACGATGTCGGATTGAATGAGAAAAATTTTTCCACGGCGTTTTTCCATCCCTCCCGAACGAATCGAATATTGTGATATGTTTATACATCTATATGCATACGATTGTTTCTTTAATTTGATGATTTTTCATCGCCATCTCGCTGACGACTAGCATTAGATAATTAAGAACATCCAACGGCGCTGGTACCAATATGTTACTTATATCATAAACATTAATTTTGCTTATTTTTTGACATCCTCATATAAATCATCTCGGCTTAGGAAGTATAACGCAATTAATGCAAATACCTCGACTCAACTATTCATAAAAACGCATTGAATAATAAATCATTGGATTCATGTAGCATATAGCGATGTTGCTCTTTTAGTGTATAAAGGAAAGCAAAATTTAACAATCCAGAGAAATATGTATCTATGAATAATTGAGACATTTTAAAACAGCGAATGTTGCTAGATGCGAAATGTTATTCGAGAGTTATCGCACGTGTTTGTAAGAATTATAACATCTACGAATCGTTATGCTGATACTCTTAAGTATTACAAATAACGTAACATCGTTGTTTAATTTAATGCGCTCGAGTTGGAGAAGAAATCCATTTCGAGGTACATAAATCAACAGAAAAATTGAGGGAATTGGATTTTTAGAGGGAGGACAATGGAAACAGCGAAACTGAATACAGAATAAAACATGATATCATATTTGCAGGATACTTCGAGTTTTTTTACAATGTCAATAAATCATTGTGGGGTTGGCGAGAGTATTGACTTGGAGAATAAACTGATGAAGATATTCTCGAATTGTGAGTTTACTGCTGTTGATTTACCATTTTTTTGCGCCTTCATGCATTTTTTCAATAAACCCTGAGGTTTCTATTTTCTATCAATGAATCATTCGCAGTAAGACTTTTTGTAGAGTAAAAAACGACCTAAACATCTCGCTAGTTCTAGATTGGAGTATTCATCGCGAGTTCAGAAAAGATTTTAGTCCACTTGAATCGTTTCCTCCCAGAATAAAAAGAAAACTTCAATGAATAATTTTTGTTCTTCATTGAAAGTATCATAATTTTACAAATAAATTAAAAATCTTATCATTATCGATTTTGTGCCAGCGGTTTCTAATTGTAAACGTGGGGAGAGAATCCCCCATTTTCTTGAGGAGAAGTGAAATGTCGAGATTTTCTAGTGATTGGTGCCAGTAGCCAAACAACTGTATTATCATTTCGATCCGCAACATTATCACAATGAGAAACTCTGGAACTACAATAAAAAGTGATGATAAAGAGAATAAAAACTTTGTCTATTTCATACTGCACTTGATCCTCAGTTATCGTGTTAAGATATTTTCAGAGTCTCGCTCAATCCCTGAAATGTCACATTCGTTCATAAAATCATTTGACGTTTTCACCCGAAATCGATGCATTTCGAGCTTGATCGACAACGGAAAAACACTTGTCATTCGTTTTTTTTAATACAAGAGAATGAGTTTCTAGTCTACAAAACCGTTTTGCCATTCTAGAAAAAATCATTTCTTTCACATAATGGGAAAATTCATAAAATCCGAAAAAATAGACAAATAAATATTGTAATCGCTTTTCATTAGTGAAAAATTTTTCTTCAACCCAGAAAATTCTTTTGTACAATGAGACGTCTCTTTCTGTATATTATTATCGATATATTCATTATCGATAGACCGCGGGAAATCACTAGAAATGAATCCCTCGTCTGCTCGGTAATGCACTTAGTCCTCGGTCGGGGCAATGAATTTTTTTCGGGTCGTTGTATTGATCAAATAATGGTGGGCGAGTTCTTTGATGCATCAACTAAATTCTGGAGTCCCTGCAGGTATTAATAAGAGGGTCGGGGCCATGAGTGGATCAGTTAAGTCGTGACATAAACCGAATGAGGAAGAAATAGTCAGTTCAGTCCGACCAGTAAATGTCTGGATAACATGTCGACGGATCCATCGGAATCTCGAGGAAGCGAGAATACACCGTCTCTGATAAAAAGACCATCAGCAAAACCGCCCTTCAAGCTGTGCTTTCCCAAACCTCAGATGCCAGGACGATCCGAGGTTCTGGTATCCAAGGTTGATGGTACTGTTGGATAATCATCACTCAGTGAGACTGGACCTTTCAAGAAAGGTGTTCTTAAATTTGTAGCCAATTTTGTTACCCCCAAGTTCTGGAACAAGGAGGCACTACCGGAAGTCCAGGGTGAGGTCGAGGATCGACTCGCTGAAGCCGTCAGGCGACGGATGCAACAGGAGCGCAAGGGACCCAGGGATTTATACCGATTTCCCGTTCTGAGTAGTCAGAGGTATAATTCACTATTAATATTAATTTTTTTCATCATCTTTAAACTGATACTATAATTTACTTGATTGATTCACATTTCATCTTTGACTGCCGAAATTGTTTTATTATTCCAACGATCAGAGTATTGATTTGATTCTTCTGTATCTGCAGTTACGGATGGTGGTACGATGAAACTCTTGGAAGTACCTCACCTCAATTCAATTTTCATAAACATACATCAGATATGGTGGAGTCCAATCTAATGATACAGTATGAAGAAAAGAAATTACGCGGTCTGTGTCATTAATGCATAATAATAGGATAATTTCTTTGGAAATTTGATAGTATATATGAACGTAATGTCCACCTACAGTTTTTCGAGGTAATTTTAATGCCATTATATGTTCATTTGAATAATCGCTTGATGTATAGATTTATAATTATAATTCTCTCCTTCGTAGACCAATAAAATCATCGGCAACACAATATATTTTTTTATTCCCTAGTTTTTATATATATATAAATAAAATAATAAATTTTCTAAATGCAACATGCTATAACGATAGAGTGTTGTTTTTTTATAAATAATATCAGGATAAAATCAGGATTCTGGTAATCATCGTATTGCTCATAATCTGTCATCCAGTTTGGTGGAACATGGTGAAAAGTATCTGCTGGTCTTTTCATCTCCGATTCACCAGGGTTATTTGAAGATTCCTTCGCCTCCATCCTTTCCACTAATTTCTGCAAATTGTCCATTCGTCTCTTGAATCTGGGGGCCAAGTCTTTGGTCTCTTTGGCCTCCAGATATTTTTCATAGAGCTTCTGATACCGAGTATTCAGGATCGGCTCAGGATCCTGGTCAACAGGTGCCTCAGTCTCCTTGAACTCATACTGATCTGTCGATGCATAAGGCATATGCATGGCTTTCGGACCTTTTACTTCGTCCACCATCTCCTCAGACTCCACAGCTGAATTCTCTACTTCTTCCAGATTCTCCTCGTCACTCTTTAAATATTTCAACGCAATACTGTAATTTGGATCGTTAAGCCTTTTGGACAACAATCTGCCGTGCTCCTTCTTTACCAATTCGCCCATTATAGCTTTATTCTTCATATATCCAAATTTTAATCACTTCCTCTCAATGTAGTCTGAGTAAATTAATTTATCTTTCATAGCTTCAACCCTCGGATCGAGTTTGAGTTTAACTTGCCCTGTGGAATCGACTTCCAGAGCTGCGGTTGCTTCCGAGTGAATATTTTTCCATTTCCATAACCTCCATCGCATCGGAATTAGTAAATATTCTAGTGATCGATTGGTTGTCACGCCGACTGCACCAGGAAATGACTTCTTTAAGCGCAGCATCATCGCACAAATTACTTTCTAACAATTTTCACTGGTTCAAATTCCGTTTTAGACATTTTATCACGAAAATTGAACGTTTGTTCCGTTGGTGCCGGTTTATGTACGCGCTCCGCACATTTTGTCTGGTTTGGATTTGTCTGGATTTCTAGGATTTTTGACTTAAGCTGGATAGAGCGTAATCAGATCTACATAGGGGGGTTGGTTGGTTGATGTGGTTGGTTGGTTGGTTGGTTGGTTGATGTGGTTGGTTGGTTGGTTGGTTGGTTGATGTGGTTGGTTGGTTGGTTGATGTGGTTGATATGGTTGATGTGGTTGGTTGGCTGGTTGATCTTGGCTGGTTAAGCCAAAGAAGCAACTCCTCAGTAACTATCCATCTGCCACAGAGACCAGTTGAAAGAAAGGATATTGACGTCTGCGTTGCCAATATGTTTCCTTTTTCCATTGAATTTAGTGGCCAGTAGAATTTTCTCTAGATTTCTGATTCTGATTCTGATGAATTGGAAGTTGACAAAAACACTGAAAAATATTCACATGACCAACCAACTAACCACATCAACCAACCAACCAACCAACCAACCACATCAACCAACCAACCACATCAACCAACCAACCAACCAACCAACCAACCA